GCCCCGACTCCCGTCCGCCCCGCCCCGCACGGCCCCTGGCCGCAGTTTCCTGAGCCCCGTGAGGCCTCGGGCCGGGGAGTGGGGGAGTCGGGAGGACCCGGGCTGGACGCCGAGGTTGGAGCCCCACTTTATGCAAAGGCCCAGCGCCCCGAAACCAAAGGGTGGGGTCGCGGGCCGCCGAAGCTTCGTCGAGTTCTTTGGGGGAGCTACTTCTTCGCAGGAACTGAGTTGTCTGTTGTTAGGGTGGTAGAAATCCTCCCCCCCCCCCCCCCCCACCCGCCCCCAGCTTTTCTGGTGTGTGTTTATTTCCACAAAAGGAGGTCTGACACTAACTCTTGGGTCTCCGAAGGCGGAAGCCTGCGTTGCTGTGGACTCGCAGCCGCGCTGCGCGGGGTTTCGCTTTGCCCCTGCGTCTCCGCGCCGCCTTAAATGCAAATCCTGGGCCCGCCCTCAGATTGCGAGGGGACCCCTCAATCCAGGCTGGGCTCTGCCCCTGGTAGTTTTGACTCCCGCTTGGCTGCTGAAACCATCTTTTGATACACAGTGATTTGAGGACAGGTTAACAAAAATTAGTTGGGCTAACAGTGGATCGCAGAGCTTGGAACTCCGCTGCTTCAGCCCCCTCTGTTTGCAAAGGATGAGGTTAGGGTGACCAGCTCAAGGCCACTTAAATTTGCAGGCCATTGTACAGATGAAGAGACCAAGGCCTAGAGAGGGCAGTGAGACTCATGGAGGGAGTTGTCAGCTGGAGAGAGGTTGACCTTGTCAAGCAGCTGGTTTTGCTGAGGTCCTACTGTGTGCTAGGCTTGACTCACCTGTGGGGTTCAGATCTGGGCCTACATGGACTGGACCCAGCCTCAAGGTCACCGGAGGCTCTGGCCTGCGTACCCATGAGGCTCCAGGTGACGTTTCTAGAGGGTTGATCTAGTTCCTGACCAGGAAGAGTGGCTCAGGGGAGGTTGTTGGCTCATCCCTGCCTGGGGCTGGCTCACCCTGGGCCCCTTACTCAACCTCTCTGAATTGCTTTGAGCCCTGTGGTCCCTGAGACCATTTCCAGCCCAGAGAGTTATCTGTCTTCTCAGCAAACACCTGCAGGGTGCCAGTACTGGGGTGCAAAGGTGACACATGGGCAGCTGGCTGATGGGCGCTCTTGGACCAAGGATGAATGAGATGAGTGCACGTTCAAGGGCACATGTGCCCGCCCTGCCGTGAAATGGCCGATGGAGACAATCTCACTGGCCAGGTGGAGATCGTGAACTTTGTCCAGCGGTGCCAAGGAATGACAGCAGACTTTTAGGTGGGGGGACAGTTTTAAGCCTTATACAGACCACCTGGGTGGCTGTGCAGGGCAGGGGGTAGCAGCGGGGAGGTAGCTGCTAACCAGTATGCATTCCCTCGGTGAACAGCTGAGCCTGTGTCGTGGGCCAGGCTCAGAGCTATGCAGGCTTTATACAGCCGAGTGCCCCAGCAGGCCTTGCTGTGGGAGTGTGGGACTGAGGGCGAGGGTTTCAGGGACAAGCAGGCATGCAGAGGTGGTACCGGGAGATAGGATTTGTGAGTCAGACATATAAGGGGGGGGGGTGGCGAGAAAACCCGGGGGTGAGGGAGCAGCCCTCACGGATCAATGGGGCAGAGAGGTCAGGGTTGGCCTGGCTTACATCACTGGCAGTCAGGGGTGGTTTTGGCAAGAAGGGAGAAGACGGGCATGGGAGGAAGTGGGTTCAGAGACTGGAGTGGGGTCAGGGGGGTTGGTTTTAAGAAAAGGAGAGGCGGGGGTTCCTTCTACAGGGGAAGGGGCTGGTGGGTGAAGGGGGCAGGTGAGTATGGTGTGGAGGTCACTGAGCATGCGGTGGGGGGGTGGAAGGAGGGAACCTGGGCAGGGGGTGTGGGGGGCACAGTGCTGGGGCTCCCGGATGGTGATGATGCCCGTGGCCGGCTCTGCAGACAGGACTGCAAGGTGAGGCGTGGCAGGAGGGCCCTGCCACAGCTGGTGTTCTCTGCGGACAAGCAAGCTGTCCTGCCTGTCTTCTCGGGGGTCCACACTGGCTTGGAAGGTCATTCCAAAAAGTGTCCTTCATGAGAGGTCCTTGGTGATCAAGCATACAGCCTTTGAGGGCCCTGCTGCAAAGGACACCATTTATTTGACTACCTAAGCCCAATAACGCTGTGGCTTTCTAAACCGGGGGCAGGGCCACTAAATACCCAGTGGTCTCCGCTTCGTCTCTCTCTGTGTGGCCAGTCACTGCTTCTCAGAGCCTCAGGTTCCTTTTCTGTCCCACGGGGCGGAGGAGACAGTGAAGTGACATCAGCTCGCAGAGGTGACTTGAGCCTGTGAGGGAAGTAACCTTTGGAGGTACTCTGACCCTACCCCTTCAGGCACAAATTGCGCCCGTTCTGGGTTTCTCAGAGAGCCGCCACGCAGGGTGCCTTCCTGTCCCGGGATTTCGGAGGCACCGCTAAATGCTTGAACGCACAAATGATGCGCACCTTCCTGCCAGGTGGTGCTTACAAAGCTGCCTGCCCAGGAGAGCCGGTTTGGGCTTCTTCCTCTTTCTCCTCTTCCTCCTCTGGAGGAGTGACGGTCAGGGCCTCTACTGGAGCCCAGAAGGCTGCCCTGTCCAGTCCCCGGGGGCACCTGACTCCACATTCCCCGGGACAGGCTCTGTGCTGCCAGGGGCGGCCGAGACGCAGGATTTGCCTGGTGTGCCACTCTCCAGCCGCTGGCTTTGGGTGAAGCTCTTGGTGTCTTGGAGCCTCAGTTTTCCTATCTATAACCTGGGGCTGACTTCTACCCTGCTGGCCTGGCAGGGCTGTGGGGACACTCTGAAGAGATAGGGAGAAAGTTGAAGGATTTCAAGATGCTGTGTAAATTTGGGGGCAGGGCAGGCAGGACAGACAGCCAAAGTAATACCTCTGCAACCCAAGGAAGGAAATTCCTTTGGACCCAAGTGCAGCGACAGCCTCAGGTTCTGTCACCTTTATCAGGCCTTCGTTTCTCTGCCTGGTCCATCCCTGAGAGAACAAGGTCATTGAGGTTGTTGACACATCCCGCGCCCCGCCTCGGCCCAGATGGAATTTTCCACTTTGCTCCTTTTGCAAATATTAATCAAGGCCCTGGCCCGTCAACAGTGGACTCATTGTCTCGTGAAGAGCAAGCAGTTTCTGGGCTGCTTCCCAGGGCCCCAGCGGCCCACCTGCGCTGGGACATGGGGCCGTTGGGAGCACCTCTGCCCTGGGTAGCCCTCTGACCCCTCTGCTCCGCTGGTTGAGCTTTGCAGGGTCGAAGGTAATGTGTGCTTTGAGCCAGGGACGGGAAGCCACACGGAAGGCCCGCACCCCCGTGTTCCCCACGGGGCCACACAGCGGCGGTCATCTGCTCTGCTGCAGTGAGGAGGGGCCAGGCTGGGGACGGCTCAGGACCCGGACTCCTGCCTGACCCAGGAGGAAGGCCAGCGAGGTCCCGGCCCGTGTGCACTCGCGCTGGTGCTGGCGTGTGTGTGACGCTGTGACCTCGAAGCCGGTCGGGACACGGGGGGTCGGGGACCGCTGTTCTCCCAGAGCCCCATCTGTCCATGGGGTGCTGAAGTCGGCCCCACAGCGCTCTGGGAGGGTTACCGGAGACGCTGGGGGCACAGAGCAGGGTTGGTGATCTAGTTTTGACCAGTGATACATGAATTAGTCTATTATCAGTGATCTTGTTATTGGCCATGGTGGCACTCGACGGAGGAGGGAGCAGGGTGAGTGGAGCTATGCGGGGAGTAGGGCGAGGACAGGACCCCGGCCACACTGGGAATGTGACAAAGTCGCCACGTGCTTTGGCTTGGCACCTTTCATTTTCTGAAGGGTGTTTTTTTGGCTCTTACTTCCTTTTGCTGTCCCAACAAACCTACGAAAGAGGTGGCTCTGTTCCCATTTTATAGATGAGAAAACTGAGATCCAGAGGGGCTAAATAAACCACGAGTGGTGACCGCTTTGGGGCTGCAAGCCAAGGATCTTAACCAGCAGCTCCTTTCCTTTTTGGAAAGCCCATTATCTTACGAGGGCACCCAATAGACATAAAGCCACTGTGTGCAATTGCTCTTAAGAGTTTCTCAACTCTGACTTCCTGGTTCTGCGCTTCCACGGCTGCGTGTGGGCTGGCGCTGGTGGCCGGCGCTCCTGAATCCGGGCAAATCTGGGTGGGAGGTGGGTTTCAAACAGCATACCCACAGGGCCAGTGTCCCACCTGACAAGCAGGGATTTTCTTAACCGCCTCAGAAATCCAGCCGCTGTTCACATTCCCAGGATCTAAGTAAGATCCGTGCGTTATTCGCAAGATTTTGCTCCCTCTCCCTCTGTCTTGTTTATTTTTCGCTGGCATCTGTTGTTGAAGAGATGTATGGCATTCCCCTTGTGGGGTTTCTGGGTGGCCTTTTCTGTGCTCCTCTGACTTGCTTCTGAATTGGTGGGTGGATCCACAAGTGTGAGCAGATTCGGGTTTGATTTTTTTGGCAAGGGTATTTTGTAGGGGTGGTGTCTCTCCTGACTGGATGGGGGGCCCCCCCAGATGTGGGGTGACTGTTGTCACCATCCTGGCCCGAGAGCACAGCGCCAGTTGTGAAGGTAGTACTTCCGGGGACAGGGCCAGCCTTGGGGCATCAAGGGCCTCCATGGTCACTGGGAGCCGAGCTTGGTGCTCGGCTCTGCTCAGGCTGTGGCTGGAGGGAGCAGGCTACACGGTCACTATTTAAAGGGGTTCACAGGTCCTTTCATGTGGATGGGCCCATTCTTTCACTCCGCCACCCCCTCTTGGTGGACAGTTAGGTTTTGTCATTCCTTGCCAGCATAAACGACTGGAGGACAGACCTCTTCTGCTTGCTTTCTCATAGTCGTGAAGAGTCCTCTTCTGGTTAAATTCCTAGAAGTGAGATTGTGGAGACAGAGGGCGGCCCCTTTAAAGTCCTGATGTGTCCATCCCCTTTCGGAAAGGTTTACGCACTCCGCAGCTGTGCCCAAAGCAGAATCGCTGTCATTGGCCTTGCCCTGGTGGAGCTTCTCGAAGGTTGAAGCAGATTTTGTGCCTCAAGCCTGGCAGAGACTGCCTGCTCCCTCCCCAGAGTTCTGTCATCTCTTCTTGGGTTACCAACGAAGGCCAGGACTTCGGTGGCCCAAAAAGTCTGACCCTAGCCCAGTACACTGCACAGGCCAGAAGCTGGAGTGGACACACACACACACACATACAACACGTGTGCGTGCATGCCAAGAAATTGTGAAGAACCTGTTACAAGTGTTGTTCCAGAAAGTTTGGTCAGTTCTCCAGCTGTGTGACTTTGGAGACAGACTGTGTCCCAAGTGTGGGCACTGCTGAGATGGGGCACAGTTATTCTGGGCACAGTTCTGTTGCAATTTGACTCCACCAAAATTATCAAACTTGTTGTGCACTGGTCACGAGCTCACAATTACATGGAAATTTATCATTCTGCAAGAAATTCTGACCGTGAAATTTGGCAAATTATTCAATACACGTATTTACCTACTGATTTTAGAATTTGAAATGAGAATTGTTAGTTGCTGCCAAGTACGACGCTGACAAAAGCCTCTAGCAGTACTTCATAGGGTGAGGTGGCTCCTGCATTCGTTGTCCCTCATTGATTGTCATCTGCGCTCGGCCCATCTGCTGTGTCCCTCACTGGAGTTGGAGGTGGGGGCCTGAACTGACCGAAGCCTCGCTTCGCAGACAGAAGTGCCACAGGGACCTGGTGGCCAGCTCCAAGAGGACTGGCCGGGTGGAAGGGGTGGCTCGGTGTGGCGGCCCTGCGCCCCAGGGAGACCAGTGTGGCACGAGGGTCTTCTCCCCTGGACTGGGGAGCAGAACAGATGGAAGTCTCCTCTTGCCCCTTCCTCTCCTGCTCAGAGCCCAGGAGTGGACAGACAGGGCCCTAAACAGAGCCAGGGTTGGTCCCAGGAAACAGGGCGAGTCAGGGGAATAGACACCCAGACTCAGAAGGAAGCCTCGGATGCCACCTGACCTGTGGTAGGACTCCCCACCCACCCCCTAACACACACACACTCCCTCAGGTGGACACACGAGCTGTCTTGGCTTTCTCTGGTTCCTTACCTCCGCCCCACCCCTCACTTTCCACACGGCCAATGCCAGGGAACTCCTTCCCAGCCCAGGTAGCCCAGCAAAGTGGAAAGGGCTACTTCCCTGTCACTCCTGCCCCCTGAGGGTCAGTCTGCCCACGCACCTGGTCTGGAAGCCTGAGAGGGCACTGCACTAGGGATGAGGGGGTCCCTGCTCCCAAGGCTTTCCCTTTGGGCAGTGAGCCCTCCCTCTGCAACCCCTTATTCCCTTGCACACAGTGAGTGTGTTGTAGGACCTGTCACTTTGCAACACTGTGAGCCAGGAGCCTGAGTGACTCCTCTGCTCCGCCTCCCACCCTCCCCCCACCCCCTGCACCTGGCCCAAACCTGCCTTCTGAGGGGAGGAGGGAGCTGGTCCCCTCAGATGGGTCTCAGGAACAGGGAAATGTTGCTCTTGGGGAGGAGCGGCCTGGAGCCTGGGCACCCAGCCTGCCAGGAGAGAAGAGGAAAGCCCACCCCACCCCACCCCTGGCCATGGGGCAGAGAGCTAGACCATGTGCCTCCTGAGAAGGGAAGTGAGAGCGCCCTGCACTTTCCTGTCCCCATTATTCAGCAAATCTTGGGCCAGGGATTCTGGGAGAGCGGGGGAGGGAGACAGAGGCACCCTGAGGGACTTTCCCAGTTTCAACAGAGGTGGGCACCAGACAGACGGCCCCAGTTTAGTCTGCCCCTGCCAGAGGCTGGAGGGATGCATGCCTAGTTGAAGGTCAGATCCAGAACTTTGAGAGCAATTAAAGGTCCCTCCATGGGGGGCATAGGGAGGGGGGTGTTGGAGGCAGAGCTGTGATAGGAGATGGAGTTTGGAGTGACTGGGGTCAAGGAGAGTAAGTGACCTGCCGTCACCGCATGAATAAGGGACCTGACTTCACTTCTCCACAGTAGGCTTGGTGCCTCCTGGTAAAGGTGCCATGTTGCTTCCTAACCCTGTCGACTTTTATTATCAATTATTTCAGACCTTCAGTGGAGCTGTCAACCCTACTCAGAGGCAATATCCTGGGCTTCTTTATACTTTTCTCAGTCATAGTTTTGAGTCCCTCAACAACATCCAGAATTGTATAAGATACGGGAGGTTTTTTTTTTTATTATGGCAAAATGTACGTAACATAAAAATTAACCATTTTAACCATTTTTTTTATAAAGATTTAATTTATTTATTTGACAGAGAGAGAAACAGCAAGAGAGGGAAACACAAGTGAGGGAGAGGGAGAAGCAGGCCTCCCACCGAGCAGGGAGCCCGATGCGGGGCTCGATCCCAGGACCCCGGGACCATGACCTGAGCCGAAGGCAGACGTTTAACGACTGAGCCACCCAGGCGCCCCCCATTTTAACCATTTGTAAGTGTACAATTCAGTAGCATTAAGTACATTCACAATGTTGTGCAACCATCACTACTCTCCATTTCCAAAATGTTCCGTCACCTCAAACAGAAGTTCTGTACCTGCAAAACAGAACGGACATACCTCATTTTACTGCGCTTTGCTTTATTGTGCTTCACAGATCTGTTTCTCACAAATGGAAGTTTGAAGCAACCCTGCGTCAAGCAAGTCTGTTGTTGCCATTTTTCCAACAGCGTTTGCTCACCGCATATCTCTGTGTCACAGTTTGGTAATTCTCACAGTATTCCCAACTTTATTGTTCATTATGGGGATCTGTGATCCGTGATCTTTGATGTTCCTGTTGTCATGGGTTTTGAAGTACCATGAACCGAGCCTATGTGAGATGGGGAACTTAACCTATAAATGTTGTGTGTCCTGACTGCCCCACCAACCCACCACTCCCTTTCTCCCTCCCTCTCCTTGGGTCTTCCTAGTCCCTGAGACAAAACAATATGGAACTTAGGCCAATTAATGACCCTACAGTGGCCTCTGAAAGGAAGAGATCCACGTCTCTCAGTTTAAATCAAAAGCTAGAAATGATGAAGCTTAGAGAGGCATATTGAAAATTTAGGCCGAAAGCCAAGCCTCTTGAGCCAAATGTTAGCCAAGTTGTGAACGCAGAGGAAGTCCTTGAAGGAAATTAAAAGTGCTACTTTAGTGAACACTCGAACGATAAGAAAGTGAAACAGCCTTATTGCTGCTATGGAGAAAGTCTGAGTGGTCTGGAGAGAAGATCAGACCAGCCACCGCATTCCCTTAAGCCAAAGCCTCATCCAGAGCAAGGCCCGAACTCTCTTCAATTCTGTGAAGGCTGGGAGAGGTGGGGAAGCTGCAGGAGAAAAGTCTGAAGCGAGCAGAGGTGGGTTCATGAGGTGGAAGGGAAGAACGTAAAAGTACAAGGTAACGCAGCAAGCGCTGATGTAGAAGCTGCAGCAAATTATCCAGAAAGATCTAGCTCAGCTTGGGGCGCCTGGGTGGCTCGGTCGGTTAAGCAACTGCCTTCGGCTTGGGTCATGATCCCAGGGTCCTGGGATCAAGCCCCACATCAGGCTCCCTGCTCCGAGGGAAGCCTGCTTCTCCCTCTCCCTCTCCTACTCCCCTGCTTGTGTTCCCTCTCTCACTGTGTCTCTCACTGTCACGTAAATAAATAAAATCTTAAAAAAAAAAAAAGGTGGCTACACTAAACAAAAGATTTTCAGTGTAGATGTAACAGCCTTCTATTGGAAGAAGATGCCATTTAGGGCTTTCATAGCTGGAGAAGAGAAGTCAAGGCCTGGCTTCTATGCTTCAAAGGACAAGCTGATTCTCTGTTTAAGGGTGAATGTAGCTGGTGTCTTTAAGGGCTCATTTACCATTTGGAAAGTCCTAGGGCCCTGAAGAATTATGCTATCTCTACTCTGTAAGTGATCAACAAAGCCTGGCTGACAGCTCATCTCTTTACGACATGGTTTACCGAATATTTTAAGCCCACTATTGAGACCTATTGCTCAGAAAAGAAGATTCCTTTCCAAATATGACTGCTCATTAACAAAGCCCCTGGTCACCCAGGAGTTCTCATGGAGAGAGACAACAAGATTCATGTTGTTTCCCCGCCTGCCAACACAACGTCCATTCTTCAGCCCACGGTTCGTGGAGTAATTTCAACTGTCGAGTCTTATTATTTAAGAACCATGCTTCGTAAGACTGTAGCTGCCACAGACAGTGATTCGTCTGATGGATCTGGGCAAAGTCCATTAAAAACCCTCTGGAAAGGATTCACCGCCTAGATACCATTAAGAACATGTGTGATTCTTGAGACGATAAGCTTTATCAACATGGACAGGAGTTTGGAAGAAGCGGATTCCCGCCCTCCTGGAGGACTTTGAGGGGTTCAAGACTTCCGTGGAGGAAGTGACTGCAGATGTGGTGGAAACAGCAGGAGAACCAGAATCAGATGTGGGGCCGGAAGATGGGACAGCATTGTTGCAATCTCATGGTAAAACTTGAACGGATGAGGAGTTGCTTCTTAGGGGGTAGGCAAAGAACGTGGTTTCTTGAGCTGGAATCTGTTCCAGGTGAGGATGCTGTGATGATTTTTGAAATGACGACAAAGGAGTTAGAATAGCAGATCACCTGAGTTGATAAAGCAGCAGTGGGGTTTGAGAAGATCGACTCCAGTTTTCAAAGAGGTTCTACTGTGGGTAAAACGCCATCCGAGGCATCGCATGCTACGCATCGCATTTGTGAAAGCAAGAGTAACTCGGTGCGGCAGACTTCTCTTAAGTCTTCTTAAGTCTTGTCCTACTTAAGAAATCGCCACAGTCGCCCCAGCCTTCAGCACCCACTGCCCTGATCAGTCAGTGGCCCTCGACATGGAGGCAGGGCCCTCCATCAGCTGAAAGATTAGGACTCTCTATAAGCTCAGATGACTGTTAGCAGTTTTTAGTAAAAAATATATATATATAGTTTTAAATTAAGGTATATACATTGGTTCTTTTAGGCATAATGCTATTGCACACTCTATAGACCACAGTATAGGGTGAACACAACTTTTACACGCACTGGGAAACCACAAACTTCATTTGACTCACTTTGTTGTGATGTTTGTTTTATTGCATTGATCTGGAACCAAACCTGCCATATCTCAGAGGCGTGCCTGTAACTCCCCATTTCTTCTCCCTGCCAGCCCCTGGTCACCTCGAATCTACTTTCCATCTCTTCGAATTTCTCTCATATAAATGGAACCATGCAACAGTTGTCCTTTTGTGACTGACTTACTTCACTTCACATAGTGTTTTCAAGATTCATCCATGTTGTAGCATGTATGAGAATTCTGTTCTTATTTGAGGCTGAATAATACTCTGTTGCATGGATATACCACACCCTGCTCCTTTAGTCACCTCTTTTTTTTTTAAAGATTTTTTTTATTTATTTTTTTGACAGAGAGAGACATAGCGAGAGCAGGAACACAAGCAGGGGGAGTGGGAGAGCGAGAAGCAGGCTTCCTGCCGAGCAGGGAGCCCGATGTGGGACTCGATCCCAGGACCCTGGGATCATGACCTGAGCCGAAGGCAGACGCTTAACGACTGAGCCACCCAGGCGCCCCCTTTAGTCACCTCTTGATGGCCACTTGTGTTCTTTCTACCTTTCTGCTATTATGAATGATTCTGCTGGAAACACCGGAGTACAAGTATCTGGGACCCTGCTTTCAGTTCTTTTGGGTATATATCTAGGAGTGGAACTGCCAGATCGTATGGTAATTCTATGTTTAACTTTTTGAGGACCCGCCCAACTTTTTTTTTTGCAGTGACTGTGTCATTTTATGCTCCGGCCAGCAGTGCACAGGAGTTCCAGTTTCTCTACATCCTTGTCAACACTCGTTATTTTCCTTAAACTTTATTTCAGACATCCTAATTCTAGATTTATTCCTATTTTCTGTTTCTTCATGATTCAGTTTAGGGAGATGGTATATTTCTGGGAAGTTGTTGGGAATTTTCATCTAGGTTATCTAATTTGTTGGCATACAGTTATTCATAGTCCTCTCTTATAATCCTTTTTATTTCTGTAAAACAGTAGAGATGTCCCCGCTTTCATATCTGATTTTACTAATTTGTGTCTTCTCTCTTTTTTCTTACCTCATCTACTTAAAGGCTTGTCTTTGTTTTTGAAGAACCAACTTTTGGCTTGATTTTCTCTATTGTTTTTTTGTTCCTTATTTCATTTATCTCTGTTCTAATCTATTATTTCCTTCCTTCTGATAGCTCTGGGTTTAGTTTGCTCTTCTTTTTCTAGTACCTTAAGATGTAAAGTTAGGGGTTTGTTTGTTTGTTTTTTTGAGATCTTTCTTCTTTTTTAATGTATGCATTTACAACTAAAAATTTCCCTCTTAGCACCGCTTTTGCTCCATCTCATAAATTTTGGTGTATTGTTTTCATTTTCATTTGTCTCTAACATCCCTTGTGATGTCTTCTTTGACAAATTGGTTGTTTAAGAGTGTGTTGTTTAATTTCCACATATTTGTAAATTTTCTAGTTTTCCTTTTGATATTGATTTCTATTTTCATTCCATTATGATTAGAAAAGATACTTTGTATAATTTCAATCTTTTTAAAAATTTATTAAGATTTGTGGCCTAATATATGTCTGTTCTGGAAGAATGTTCCATGTGTACTTGAGAAGAATGTCTGTTCTCCTGTTCGGTGGAGTGTTCTGTAGAGGTCTACTATTGGGATTGTAGTGTTAATCAAGTCATTTATTGCCTATTGATCTATCTGGTTATTCTGTCCATCATTGAAATCTGAGTATAGAAGTCTCCACTTCCTGTAGAATTGTCTGTTAATCCCTTCAAATCTGTTAATGTTTGCTTCATATATTTTGGGGCTCTGATGTTGGGTACACATAGGAATTACATGTTTTAAAACTGTATTTATATAAAGGTTTTATTTAGGTCATACCAGGCATAGTTTGCCTTTTATATTTGAATATATTTCTAGGATTCATTTGTGTTGATGTGAAGTTCTGTGTCCCTTCATTTTCACTGTTCTGTGGAGTTTCTTTGTATGAATCGACTACAACTTTCTATGGCCTTGGTATTTCCATATACGTGTTGAAGTCAGCATATCAATTTCTTAAAAAAAAAAAAAATCCTGCTGAGATTTGATTGGCATTGCATCTTATCTATAAATCAATTTAGAGAGTATTGACATCATAACAAAGTTAGGTCTTCCTGTTCATGCTCTCTCTTTCTATTTATTTAGGTTATCTTTAATTTTTATCAACAGTTTTATAGTTTTCATTGTATAAGTCTTGCACGTATTTTGTTAAATTTACTCCTAAATATTTCATATTTCTTGATGCTCTTGAAAATGGTATTGTTTTATTTTGTGGTTGCCCCACAGAAGATGGGATCAACCCTACCCTACCACCACCCAGAATTTGAATGTTGAGACTGATGACACCACACATATATCACGAGGCTATGAAAAGGCTTATTTCTCCATAATGGGGTTTTCAGGGGAGAGTAGTGCTGACACACAAGTTGGTCTGGGATAGCTTGAGGGAAGGGAAGGGTAAATGGCTCTGGTTTTTATTATGGTTAGGGAGTGGGACCAAGGTGGAGATTCCTATATATGGGTTCGAGTTGCAGGATTTGACCTACTCCCCACCTGCTCCCCCCCCAACAGGGCAGGAATGCCAGGGCTTTCTTATTGACTTGCCCAGATAGAGGGCGAGAGGGAGGGATGGAGCTTAAAGCTGTCAGTGGTCAAGCATCAAAAATAAACTCAGTCTTTATTACATTTTTTACATTTAAATTGCCCAGTTGTTAATAGCATATAAAAATACAGTTGCCTTTGTATGTTGACCTTGTATCCTGTGACCTTGCTAAATTCACTTATTAATTCCAGTCGCTTTTGTAAATTCCTTGGGGATTTCTATGTAGATGATCATGTTATCTGTAAATAAGGACATTTATAATTCTTTCTAATCTGTATGCCTTTTACTTTTATAATAATTAACCTTAAAATTCTGGTTAGAACCTTCACACAATGTTGAATTAACAGTGGTGAGAGTGAATATCCTTGCCTCGTTCCTGACCTCAGGGGGAAAGCTTTTAGCCTTTGACCATTAGTACAAAGCTAGCTGTAGGTATCTCACAGATGCTCTTTATCAGGGAGTTCTCTTTCGTTCCTTGAGTACACAGAGATTTTATGGATGGAATATGGAGTATCGCCAAATGCTTTCTGCAGTAGGATGATCACATGGTTTTTCCTTTTTTGGTTTCTTAATATGATGAAATACATTGATTTGTTTTCTACTGTTGAGCCAACTTTGCATCACTGGATTCAACTCTAGTTGGTTATAGTGTATGTTGCTGGATTTG